CATCGGATAAATAATAGTATGAAAAGTGGCAAGTTGTACATATAATAAATAGTCATGTCTAGTATAAAATATGTCTGAGCGTTATATGAAGCACGATTAAATATGGGACCATAAACTCTTTCGAAATATCAATTCCAGATAAATCTCCCCTGCTCTCTTTGATCTTTAAATACCTATATCTATTTATCACATAAGAATGAGTAATATCTTACAAGAGTTAAGCGCGTTTTTCTATTTATCTTCCTCGCGTATTCGGAAAAGAAGAATTGCAAAAATTCTATTATTGCGATAAGAACCTAAGGAGAACAAAAAGTCAAAATAATGTCAATTTGACGTCGTATTGACTAAATTTATATCATTTTTTGGTCATGGAAATCTCGATCTCGAAGATGACTAAAAGTGAATTTTTATGTTGACTTTTTGACCTTTTTAATTTTTAGAAAATGTGATGTACATTTCTCGACTGTGTATACAATGATTCAGATATCATTGCAGTTCGCAGATGAGTTGAGTTATTGTATAAAAAACTAAACTGTGATTAAACTATTATTTTAAGCGGCATCAAAATTTTATGCATTTGTTGTCATTTTGAGAAACTAAAATGACCATATTTTGACGTCAATTTGACATCATTTTGACATTTCTGTTCTCCTTGAGAAGTATTTCGAGACTCGTGAAAAGTGACTAAGAATAAATAAAGCCGATCGTGACGTAATAAATTCTAATAGCGAAAATGTATATTGTAAAATCTGCGTCAATCACGATGACCGAAAACAATGATCGCGCGTAAACACTTCTGTGTGAATCGGGATCAGTTCGGGACTTTTCCCTAGGGCGGGTCACGGGAGCACGAAGATATACCCTCGAGATTACAAGGATTACGCGGAGATTGAATCACTTCCAGCCACCCTGCGCGAATGCCTAAATGTGTCTCCGGCAAGCTGTCCCTTAATCATCGTGTCTTTACCAGAGGTCGTTATCGCACTTCCGATCCCAAGTTATATACGCCTCGTGTTCCGAATTGCATATCGTCAAAAAGCGCTCGTTATCATGCCGACGTGATATTATTTTCATGCGCACCACACTATTTTTTTTTCTTCTAAATATCTATCGCGAGATTTGTAATTTGCTATGTTTTAAATAAATCAGCCCATCAAATATTAATGGTATATATATAATAAATAAATTGCCTGTTTTAAATAAATCAGTCTATCAAATATTAATAATATATTCAAAATTATAACTGATAACAGTATTAACATTACAACAAAATATATGCAATTGATTATAATATTATAAATATTAGCTGATTGCATTAGTAAAAATATCTGCGATTATTTATTATTTATTAATTAATAAATATAATATATACAAATATATTTCTTTTTATATGTTTTTTATTACTTTTCTTTACTTTTACTATTATATTCAAACTTCTTTTACTTTCTTGAAGTCTATCAGATTCCTAATCCCTTTATTACATTTATTGAATTATTTCGAATTGTTCTGCGTTTTATATAAATCATTCCATCGAATATTAATAGTGTACCTACTCAAAAGTAAAATAATATAATTATAAGTATAAAATAGCATTGAAATTACAGTAAAATATCTGCAACTGATTGTGTATAAATATTTATTGTGTATGATTATTTATCACATAATAGATAAATATTTATGTATATTTTTTTTATATACAATTTTTATTACTTTTATTCTACTTTTATTATATACATATATTATAATTTTCAAACTTATTTTATAATATTATATTTAAACTTTTTCCTTGAAGTAGCTATCACACATTCATAATTTTTTAAATTACATTCATCTATGAATAATTGAAATAATTAATGAACATTAAAAACGTGTAGCATATATCATAATTTATAATTATAATATATATACGTATATATTTATATTTCTTTTGTTTTCTTAAAATGTTTGTCAATAATTTATAATTTCTTTAATCACATTTTGATTATTGATAATAATTGAAACAATTAATAAAGCAGCATTAAAACACGCTAACATAATTATTGCTAGAGAGAAAAAAAAATCGATTCAACAATTTTCAGATTTTCCAATAAGAAAAAATTTCAAAACAAATCGTAAAATTCTTGTGCAACGCATATAGCTCCAGAAATGAAAAAAAACCCAAGAAAGCGAGTGGCCAAAGTTTTCTCGTCCCCGGACGAACGATCGCGTCAATTATGTGAAACGCGCGTAATGAAAGCGCCGTCATGAAAACCAGTTGAAAACAAACTCTGAAAGGATCTTGGCAACCCCTAATCAAGTCCCGTTTAATAAAACCGGGTCCGGGGATCCCCGAGTCTTGCACCCCCGGCGTCGGGCCGAGCTCGGCTAATCTGACTTTGATTAAACTTTTAGCGACACCGAAAAGGGTGCCGCCGAGCCGGTGGAAACGCGTGCACGCTCTTTCTCTCTCGCTCTCTCACGCGTTCGCACATAAACGCGCGTGCGTATTACGGGTCTCGATGTGTTAGTCGATTTTTATTACGTTCCATCGCATATATTATAGAGGTACGACGGTTAATGGGTTTATCGACGCCACGGGATTACAACAATAAAGTTTCCCGATGCACCGAAAACCGCATTCGATATGCCGCGTTTATAGCCGGCTCTTTTATCATCTCGCGCTTTGTTTGCATTCGAAGTTTTTCGCGACATATTATACATATATGTATATATGGCACCAAGTATTATAATATTCGACATCCGATATACAAAATGTTGGATCGCCACACTTTTATAATAAATATAAATGCATTGTATATAAATAAGTTTATATTTTTATAATATGTATTTTTTTTCGCCAGCATATACAAGTATATTTGCAACCTTAAATGCTGTTGCAAATATATATTGTAAGTATATAAAAAGATATATATTTTATTAATTTCTTACTAGCTTTCGTGTTCATTTCTTTTTGTCATTCAAGACATTATCTTAACCATATATTTATGTCATTGTGTATACATATCGAAGTTACTTATTATGAGCAGCTATACATGTTGCCCAGCATGATCCAGTTGTTCTGCATCGAGAGGATTGTTCGACATTGAAGCGAGTATAATGTTATCACAATTTCACAAGCACTGTGCGAATTTTGATAAATTATACTACTACTTTAATCAACGCGTACGCGTAATGTTTGAGCGCGAAATTTAGGATCGCTATCTCCCTCTGTTGTCGATTCAACGAATTAGAATGGAGCGTTCCAATGTAGCAATGTTTCACAAGCACCGTTCAATACCGCCATCTGCATTCACTTTAGAATACTATCAGAGAGAAGAATAGAATCAAAGTATCGATTCTATAACTTTTTCTAAAGTGAAAACGTGAAAGTGAAAATTTTCCGCCAATCGCACATCAATTTTATTTTAAAATCAATGCGTGATTGGCGAGAATTTTTCACTTTTCACATTTTCACTTTAAAAAAGTTCCCAGATAACCAAGCGTGCGATTCCTGCACAAAATACCGCTACTGTACTATTACTGTGCCGCCACGAGATGGCAGCATACGGAGTAACCGTATGGTAACAGTACAAAACCAATACGTGATATTGTAGTACAGCGTATCATCATTGTACCTGTACTACGTATTAGTGCATATTATCGGTACATATCGTACAATACAGTTCGTACGAACCGTACCTACCAATATGGCGTATACAAATTTATTTTTTATAAATTTAAAAAAAGGTAAATATTGTAGGCCAACTAAACAAGCAATTAAATAAGATCTAAAGATTTATTAATAATTAAATAATTAATTCTCATTCCGTTAGAGAAACAATATACAGCGTAAACGTTTCGACTGCACTACAGTCTTTTTCAATACATAAAAATCAAATATTAAAATACAAAAGTTAAATATTAAATACAAAGTTAGTTAAATATTAAAATATCTGTCGCGTTCTTTTGGTATTATACAATAATTAAATAATTTGTTAATAATATAGAAAGATGGGAATTGTTTGCATTTGGCTCGATTTTCGTAACTTAGCAACGTATGGTTAACATAATATTTTTTTTAAGTACTTTGGAGAAGCAGTATCAAATTTGGGACGTGCTTCACAGGGATCGACGGGGAGGGGCCGTTCTCACCTCTAATTTATTTGTTTTCTGTTTCAGGTAAAGCCTTGTGTCCACGATTCGAGAATTCGGTCCGAGAAGTTTGTAGCCAATAAAATAGCCGCTTTTCTGTAAAAGCTGCAAATTGATTGGTTACAAACTTCTCGGTCCGAGAACTCGGACCAAATTCTCGGATCGTGGACACAAGGCTTAAGATATGGAGGGGCAAATTTTTTGGTTGTGCCTCACAGGAAAAGGCGGGGATGGGGCCTTTTCCCAAAAACAAAATAATAATAGAAAAAATTAATAAACCTGAAAAATAGGCCAGATAACGAGCAAAAAATTTTTTTAGATGTAGAAATAATTGAAACTTATTTATTTGTATTATAAAAGTATGATGAAGTTCAATTATTTCTACATCTAAAAAATTTTTTGCTCGTTATCTGGCCTTTTTTCAGATTTATTAATTTTAAATTATACACGAGCGTTTTGTTATTTTATGGTTTTTTATAATAATAGGACTTAAATAAGATCGAGTACACTGAAAAAAAATTTTGTTAGATTAACAAAAATTCTGTTCGAAAATGGACGAAACGGAATTCTGGTTGAATCTACCAGAATTCCTTTTAATACAACAAATATCTTATTTGCACCAATAAACTGATTTGTTGTACAAACAAGATGCTTGTTGCATTAAAAGGAATTCTGGTAGATGCTTGTTGCATTAAAAGGAATTCTGATAGATGCTTGTTGCATTAAAAGGAATTCTGGTAGATTCAACCAATAATTCCGTTTCGTCCATTTTCGAACAGAATTTTTGTTAATCCAACAAAATTTTTTTCCAGTGTAGGATTTTCTTGTTACAAGTAGTTTCAGCGGTAATAGTTTAATTTATAATTTAATTAAATAATGTACTTTGCGTTTATAATTGATATATTATTATTAAACATGTATTGTACATATATTAATATATAATTTTTTTTTATACATATACATTATTACATTATTGTAACATAAAATACGCATATATATTTTATAACTTTTTAAAAAATTATATGTAGCTTTATATGAGATAAATAAATAGTTGTTCTGCATCGAGAGGATTGTTCGACATTGAAGCGAGTATAATGTTATCACAATTTCACAAGCACTGCGCGAATTTTGATAAATTATACTACTACTTTAATCAACGCGTACGCGTAATGTTTGAGCGCGAAATTTAGGATCGCTATCTCCCTCTGTTGTCGATTTAACGAATTAGAATGGAGCGTTCCAATGTAGCAATGTTTCACAAACACCGTTCAATACCGCCATCTGCATTCACTTTAGAATACTATCAGAGAGAAGAATAGAATCAGGGTATCGATTCTATAACTTTTTCTAAAGTGAAAACGTGAAAGTGAAAAATTTCCGCCAATCGCACATCAATTTTATTTTAAAATCAATGCGTGATTGGCGAGAATTTTCACTTTTCACATTTTCACTTTAAAAAAAGTTACAGAATCGATACTCTGAACAGACAAGAAACAAGAGAGCGGCCACCGGGATTCAGCGGCCGCGTGTACTAGTGCGCCCACTGACAAAGTGGACATAAACTACGTCGTGACGCTCGGTAAAAATCACAGTAAATGGTTCGATTCCGCGATATGGTTCATGTCCAAACTATTCAGCTAACAATAAGAACAAAGTTGAAAACCGAACAGCTGAGTTAGACAAAGACCAAGGATCCATCGCTCTGGCTTTGTCTCACCTCACCGATGCGTCTCGTGGACTCGTGCGGCCGCAGGCACGAGATTTCGCCTATCGCGCGTAGCGTAATTCAAAGGTTATAATTTTTATGACGTTATAACATTGGGCAAAAAATCATGTACATATTTTTTAAATTTGCTTTTAATTAAAATATTTTATTATTTATTTTCCAGCTCAAAAATCATTATATAAAGATGACTTACTAAATATTTAAATAGAAATATTTTGTCAATAAAAAGATAGAGCGTAAAATACAATTACACATTTTCAAGAAAAATTAATTTAAACAATATGACGTTTGATTGATTTTCAAGAAGTCGGTATATATAGGTATATATAATACCGAATCGGAACCGTAACTTACATGGAATCCCGATTCGACAGGATCCTGTCAAATCGGGACCGGAGCCTAGTACGGATTCCGATTCGGGACCTGTAGTACGTTCCCATAAAAGTTGTGCTCGACGCATGTTGTGTGCGAAAAACATTTTACTGAAAAAGACATTTCGTACGTGGATTAAGTTTGACGCAAATAACCAAGTAATTGCACGGGTAAGTTAAATAAAAAATTTCATATTAGGTTTCAAAAGAGTTCTTATTCAAATCATGTATTTTTTATTGAAGGTTACATACAAGCATCCGCAACTCAAGAAACAACTGTGTTCACGAAATTCAATGACGTTTTGAGAAATATGTACAAAAAGTAATTCTGAGCTGCTACATGAATATGTAAAGCAAATTTCAATTGTTTCAGTGACACCTAAAAGCAACCACATTTTCGCATTTATGCCAGCACCGTCGGCAATAACTCCATGAATCATCGCTCTACATTATTCCAAATAAAAATTGCTTTTATAACAATTTTTATGAGCTCTTCTTCTTTCACTGGATTTTTAGAAGCAAATATTACAATCGGTTGAGTATATATTATGCAAGCGGCTGGAACATTAGCACAAGACCGTGCGTTACCTGTTCGCTTATGTTTGTAGATTATTGTCCGTCATCGCCAAAATCCGTTAAGCCTACGTAAGTTAAATTTTTTGAACAAACTGTTACAGATTTTCTAAGATTTATTTTGTCAAGTAACAAGATCCCGTAACGTTGCAGTGGAGGTTTTTGAGGTCAAATGTTTCTCGAATAGTTTCGCGAATTGTTCATCAAAATCACATTTTACATTAATTAATGAGAATAATTTCATTTTTGTGCATGAAAGTGAAAGAATATTGTTTTTCCTCAAAAATTCATAATATCGTACACGTTATATATAAGAATATTGTTTTTCCTCAAAAATTCATAATATCGTACACGCATGAAATTATTATTATAAGGCGCAACATGATAACGTATTTTTTGCTTCCTCTTGCAATGATTTCTTTGAGTGCCAATTTTTGAGATTCTAGAACGTTTAATTCAGCACACTTTTTATCTAAAGCTACTTATTTCATGTTTGCTATTTGTGCTTTTATACACGTCATGAGATGTTTGACGCGATCTTTAGTTGAAAAAATCAACTTATATAATAATAATTTTATTGAAACCATCAATATAGTAAAAGAGGCCAGCATGACGAGCATTAAATAGAATGTTAGAATCAGAAATTTATTTAATATATTCTACAAGCATTGGTAAACCGAAAAAATATCAATCCAATCGAACAAACCGTAAATTTACAGAATCTTACATAAAAGAATTAGACGTTTCGACTGCACGTAGTCTTCTTCAGTGTTACATAAATTATCAAGTCATATCTTAACCGCTATTATATTACATTAATGTCTTATCGAATTAATAATTTTAAAACGTAATATTTCTGGCGATATGTCCAACGAGAATAACCAATTTGAAGCCTTTAGTAAAGCGATCCTTCTTAACCTATAAAATGCTTTCCGTGAAATAATTTTATTATTGTTCAAGTGTTTTGCACAAGTAATGTATAACAAATAAATTATTTTTATATTTTTTATAGAACTTATTAGTTTTCAGAAAAACTTTTAAATTAGAATAGTCTTTCTATCATCTCATAGTTTTATAGTTATAATTTTTGTTTTCAATTTACGCAATATTAAAGAGACTAAACTAGCAATAATATTTAAAACGACTCAATGCCTTCATAAATATTCCAAATTTTACTAAGTAAATAAAATGTACTAAGTAAATAAAAATTTTAATAATATTTTAATCAAATTCATCATATTTAGAAATTTTCGAAATGCCAAAAATCATTTCAAATATTTTAGAAAGCGATTATTCTCGAATAAAATTTTTTGCATGAAATTATTTAAATACAGGTTTTTTGCGAAACATGCCTGGCAATATGTCCACCGAGAATAATAACCAATTTGAATCCTTTAGTCTAGCGATCCTTCTTAACCTATAAAATGCTTTCCGTGAAATAATTGTATTATTGTTCAAGTGTTTTGCACAAGTAATGTATAACAAATAAATTATTTTTATATTTTTTATAGAACTTATTAGTTTTTAGAAAAACTTTTAAATTAGAATAGTCTTTCTATCATCTCATAGTTTTATAGTTATAATTTTTGTTTTCAATTTACGCAATATTAAAGAGACTAAACTAGCAATAATATTTAAAACGACTCAATGCCTTCATAAATATTCCAAATTTTACTAAGTAAATAAAATGTACTAAGTAAATAAAAATTTTAATAATATTTTAATCAAATTCATCATATTTAGAAATTTTCGAAATGCCAAAAATCATTTCAAATATTTTAGAAAGCGATTATTCTCGAATAAAATTTTTTGCATGAAATTATTTAAATACAGGTTTTTTGCGAAGTTTTTTTTTATACGATGAACCCATCAAGTAAAATAAACACAAAAGTTTACAGATAAAAAACTTACCTCTCCTCCTCTTTCTTCTTCTCTATAAGCTCGCTACCAATAATTATGCGCTGAAATTGACTGCACGTGAGGCTAAAATTTGTAGCGTCTATGGCGCTAATATTTTTGTTCTTCAAAATTATCAAAATTATTTCCTCAGGCAAATTCATTATTGTAGTCATTGCGGAAAAAATATACACTAAAAAAATATATTAACTAGATTAAAAATTTTTTGAACTAAATTACTATTTTATTAATTTAATATATGTATATATATATTTAAGTCAAATATACCTTTTAGAAGTATTTGCAGTTTGAGTCGCAATTAACAAATCTACTGCTTATGCCGTTTGATAAAACGCACGAAGTTTACTGCACCACGCTGAGTTGTCGACTGAACCCTAGAATATGCTATTTCTTAAGATTATTGATGTAACTTTACTATTTCTCATTCATGTTTCCAGTGTCCTCTGTAGGACTCTCTTCGAACTTACATTGGATTTTGGTTATCCTTACCTTTTTAAAGGAAAACACAAAACATCTATTTTCTCTAGGCATTCTTCAGACTTTGTGGAGTTATTTATATTATAAATTATCTATGTTCAGAACTAACGCTGTTTTAGGCTCAATGCTAAAATTTTAAGAACCTAGTTAATTTTTTCTGTTAATATTTTCTTAATCTTGTTGTTTTTTTTCGCACTAAAATTTATATAAATTAAAATCTGTTTTCTTACAGTTATTTAAAATGTAAAAAATTTTGTAATAATTGTAGTCAATAGAATAATTAAAAATTTTAAGTGTAAACTGATTCTTATTTGTCAATATTTGTCAAAATGTTTTTGTATTCACATATATTGTTATTATAACAATAATATTTTATAGACATACAATATAATTTCATAGAAATGCATTACTTTTACCTTTTGCATTCCTATGCAGAACAAATTATGATATATTTCCGTATTCATCAAGTAGGATGACTTACAATAAAAACATTCAATCAATCTAAAATAAAAACAGAAAATAATTAAACTAATTTTTGAGAATTTTACCAAAAAGTTGTACAACGCCACATATTACATATTTTAAATCACATTAGAGAAAATTCTGCCCCTCTCCCTTCTCTCTCTTTCTCTCTATCTTTTTCTTACTCTCTCTTTCTCTTTTCCTATCTTCTTTAATTTTATGTTGTGAGAGTAATTAAATTTTATTTTTAAAATTTATATTAGATTGAAAATTTATTATTTAAATATAAGCATAATGCATTCTATATTTAAAAATGCTGTGGAAAGTGTATTTAGTAAATGTTTATAATCTTTATACAGGTTCTTTATACTTGTATATAGAAGGTGATTTATATTAAACATATACCTTTTTATGAAAATAATATCTAATATACAATTGATTTTATGCGTTATTATAATCGAGGTGGAATATTGAATGACAAATAAATTATTTTTATATTTTTTATAGAACATTAAAGTTTTCAAAAAAATTAAATTAGCAATCTTCCTATCATCTTCTATCAGCTAAGTGTCAGTATAAATTCTTTTAATTTACGCAAAAATTTAGAGAAATTAAATAAGCAATGTTAAAATCGACTTAATATCTTTATAAATTTTCCGAATTTTGAACATATTAAGTATAAATGAAAATTTTAAACTTTCTCGAATTAAATTTATAGTTCGAAATTTTCAAAATGCCAAGTGATCACTTCGAATTTTTAAAATGATAATCATTTAATCTTTTGAATTAATTTTAGGCCAGGTATTTGAGAAGTTTCTTCTTATGAGTCAATCAAGTAAAATAAATACAAAAGTAATAGATACAAAACTTACCTTTTCTTTTTATAAAAATGTTATTATCGATTAAGGACTGAAATTTCTTGCACGTGTATCTAAAATTGCAAATGTCTATGGGACTAATATCCTTATATTCCAGAATTGTCAAAATTATCTCACAAGGCAAATCCAATATCGTAGCCATATATGTCTCGCGGAAAAAAAATAAAAAAAAAACTCACAGTTTTAATTATAATTAACAAATCTGTTGCTTAAGCCGTTTGATAAAGTGCACGAGATCTACTGCACCACGTGTGACGTCGTCAACTGAGCACAATGCTTAACTGAATACAAAAAAAAGAAGAAAAGATAAGAAAATATATATTTCTTTTTCTCTCATTCTAAACTTGTGTATCTCCGATTACTATACCAATCAGAAAATGGCAAAAAAATGGAGAGAGAATATGCATTTCACCAACTTGAATCAGTTATTCGATATCATCTTTCGTTCATTAATTTTTCATTATATTAATCAAGAAAGATTTAAAGCGATTAAAATATTATTTATTCTGTTAATAAAAAAGAGAAAACAGTAATATTTCATCTACGCACGTCTACTCTCATTGGCTGCCAAATAAATTGGAGAAGCAAATTTCACCAATAAGATTTATTCTAAGCATCCGTATAGGGAGTTTTAGAGCAAACACAACGTATTCAGAGAAAACACAAAATATCTATTTTTCCTTTGCATTCTTCGGGTCAGGATAGAATGGTGAATATTCTATGACATTTGTAAAGTCTAGTTAAATTTTTTTATTGATATTATTTTAGCGTTGCTGTTTTTTTTGCATAAAAGTAATTAAAATCTTTGCCCATTTAAATATTTATTTAAAATTAAATTTTAATTAAAAGTTGCCATGTAAAATTTGGTTCGCTAGTAACAATTGTAAATAACTATGACTGACAAAAATGTTATTAAAGAAATTTGTGTTACAAAGCTTTCAAAAGCAACGTATAATCGCTGGTGGTATTACAATTAAAGAAGAAACAAGAAACAACAATGGTATTGTTTTAAATAATAAAGAAATAGGAAAGTAGAAGACAGTAAAGCTCGCTCAATTAATAACGACTAACATTTCTTTCGAAGAGTAATGATAACATTTCTTTCGAAATATAAAGTAAAACAATAGGAAATTACGATAGGAAATGATAACATTTTTTACAAACCTATCGGTTCCCAATATTTTCGATCGATTTTTTTAATAAGAAATATTATACATATATGTGTAGTCATTACGTTACTGTATGTACCCACACACTCCCTTCATACTTGCTGTATATATGCTAATTTCTCTTTATTTATCACTACTTCCTTACCTAATATATACAAAACTATTTTTTATTTTTCTTTTTTTTACTTACTAATCTAACACAGCCAATTTATCACAAAATACTTCGCCCCATCATACTATCTTTTTTCTCTCCCTTAAATAAACATTACCTTATATATACCTATATATATATAATTTTTGATATTTATTTATATGTGTAAAATGTATGTACGAATGTTAATAATTACAAAGAAAGTTTATGTAATGTGTGTGTGTGTTGTGTGTATAATAGTGATGAGAATATCAGTGTGTCTATTTTTTTAAGAGAATAGACCTTACATCTCAACAAAATGATAAAATCATTCTCTTATTGTGTATTATAGATATAATGAAAAAGCCTCAATCCGTTTGGTACAACAATCGATGACAACTAATAAATATCGATCTCTAACTATATATAGCTATTATAATAACGATATTATAATATAAATATACAATACATTGTCAAACAGGCAATAAGAGCCAAATCGCGGATGACAGTGCGTTATCCCAACGAAACTAAATTTTTTCGTTAGGATTAAAAACCTGTGCACAAGGCACTAAATTTTACTTGGACACGGCCAAGATTTAAAATTGGAATAATCTCTACAAGAGATTTAATTCCATACATCCCCTGTTTCCCCCTTAAGGAAATAAATGCGAGAGAAAATTTATATTTATATTACAGAACCTTGTTAAATTTTTAATATATTATAATAGTTATAGTAGTAGATTATTATAATAGTCGGAAAAGAATCAAGTATATCCATTTGAATCCTCTCGAACGAAGAACCTGCATTATAAACTTGTAAAAGAGATTTTCCCTTTCTTGTCCGATCTTTCTTCGCTACACAGACTTTGTAAAATCGACATCAACCTTCCACATCATTTTCATTTCGTTTATAGTTCAGAATCTCTAAGGCTTTAGCTGCAGAATCTATTTTTTATGCAGCTGGGTCACTCGATAATTTTATTTTCTTATAGAGTAAGCTTTGTTTTTTAATTTTGTGAATAAATGCGGCATCTTCTGGATAATGTTTACTTAGCATTTCATTTGACACATAATGAGTACCTTCGAATTTACAGAAATATCTTCCAATCTCTGCATTATTGATCCATTCCGAGCATATCGATGTTATAGTGCCTAAAAAATAAAAGTAAAAAATAAATTAGAAAATATATCACACACGCTATGTAATTTAAATAATATAAATAAAAATATTACAAAATATACAAATAAAACTTATAATAAAACTCGTACATTGCGGTATATAACAGAGATCATTATCAACTAACAAAATGTAGTATGGTTGCGAATTCCAATCCCGGATGCCACGTTTCTTTATATATTCGTCTTTAATATAATACGGAATACAATTTACACCAGGAAATCGAAAGCGTTCCATTTGGTATTTGTGATGCCATCCAATTATGACACCAACTAAACTGCTATGTCTTAATCCGTTATTTACACGTAGATGTTTATGTCTAACTATCAATCCAATTGCATATTTTATTTTAGGCGATCTTTTGCACATTACATCCTTTGGACATCCTATTGACTTAAGAAATATATAATAGACGTCTTTCTTATTTTAATTAAATTTAAAATTAATATTATTTATATATATATATATATATAATATTATTAATATATTAATTCTAATATATATTAAAATATATTTCTAATATATTAAAATTGTAATTAATTATAATTAACATAAATATATGTATTGAAATTTCGACCTAACTGGTTTTTTTCGTTGTATTGTCGAACTTTGATAATTAGTGTATTTTTAACGTTTGACTTAAATTGATTTACTTGTCTCCGGTTTAACATTAGTAATTTTACTGCTGTCGAATTAACATCTTGAAAGGTACATTACATTATTTTTATATTATTTTAAATTTCTTCGTTAACAACTTTGTAAATTATTGTTTCATATCTTAATCATTGTATATTTTTATTGTGCAGTTACACTTGAAAAGGACCCGTACCTAAGGGTCGAAACGTAGTGTTTCTAATTAAATTGTACTGGCCAGTTAGGTCGAAATTTCAATAGATTTGTGTGGTTTTGCTCATCACTGGTGGCTTCATTGGTTTTATCGTAATATAAATATATGTAATTATAATATATATAATATATATATATATTATATATTACAATTAAATATATTATTATAGCATATAATTTGTTGTTAATATGCACAAGAGAAAAACTCAAATACTCTATTATTATAAAGATAATTAAGATAATTATATCTTACACACACGAAAACATGTGTACATACAACACAAGAGAACAAAAAAAGAATAATCGAATTCGTTTGCTAGAAGAAAAAGTGTCTATAGAACATAACGCATTACCAACGTATAAAACCAAAATGAAACTAAAATATACTATAGAGATTTCGAGATCATGCTTATATATATTGCTAACATAATTAATATAATATATGTATAATTATATATTAATTTGCTGCATGTAATAATAAACTGTCTTTAATAGGTAATATGTATAATAAATAGATGCAATTGTCTTACCACATCATAATTTCTTATTGATGATGATATACCACAAAAGTCTGAAGATCCTTCCATCGGCCACAAAGAATAATAACCCAGAATTCTTATTAACGCTTCAATTATCTTTATAAAAAAAATTAATAATAAATCAAGCACAAAATTATCCGCAATTATTCCAATTTTTTAAATTATTGAAATATTAAAGTAGCTATAATATGTAGTTTTACATCTTTCTCTTTCGTAAAATTTTACTTATAAAATTGTATATAATATAAACGTATAATTTTTACGGTCTAGAAAGGAAGAGCAGTTTTCTACAGTCTTTTATAGTTTTATGTGCTGAATCCGCAAGCTAAAATGATCGATCACGTCAAGTTTTTAAGAAAAATGAAGTTAAAACTCCCGAAAAATTCATTTTTCATCATTTTTGAGTTTTGAGTTTCAACTTAAAATTTTTATTTCAAATCTCCGAGAAAGATTGTGCTGAAAACCTGACGCGATAAGTCATTTTATGTCTTGCAGGTTTGGATTCAACATACAAAAGACTATAGGAAACTGCTCTTTTTTCCAGATCGCAGAAAAAAGTAAAATTAAGCAGATTTATAATTACTTACTATTTCTAAAGATAATCCCCTCGGATTAGACACTATCTGACATTTTTCTATAATTAATGTTGAATGAATCTCTTCTAGATCTTGAATTTCTAAATCTTGATCAATAATATCCAGGTTAATTTCATCGTGCTTACACTTAATGATGAAACATTCTTTATTTTCTATATAGTCCTCACTGTATAATAAATAATAAATAAACATGGTTATCTGTATGTATATATTGTTTTAATACTAATATTTTTAATGATAATCTATTATAACGTAATAAAAACCTATTATTATAATTAATAATTTATTATAATTAATATAAACCTATTATAAATTTTAATCTTAATAAATAACCTATTATATTAATATGTCAATATTTATATAAACTATGTAATTGGTAATATAAATATTAATAAATTAAAAATTCAAACCTTTTACATCAAGTTAAGTTTAAATTTTTTGTACTACTTAAATTACCTTGTACCTATATCTTTCCAAGTTAAATGAATATCTTCAAAAGAAAATAACGAATAGTGTGTTGATATTTCAAAATATAAGCCTAATCTTCTCGCTACACACGTATATATTATCATCGAAATCATGCGTTTATAATCTCGCTCTCTATCTTCAATCTGTAATTATTATGCAATAAGTATTAATATATAATAAACATAATTATAATCTTAATATAATAAAGAATAATATATATATATATATATATATATAAAGGTAAAAATCTTCTCTCGACCGTACTGGCAAATATTATTTATTCAATCACAACGTTTCGACCCTTCTTTGAGTCCTTATCAAGTAATTTGTAAAATTAAAAATAAAATTATAATTATAATTTTTAATTTAACAAATCACTTGATAAGGACTCAAAGAAGGGTCGAAACGTTGTGATTGAATAAATAATATTTGCCAGTACGGTCGAGAGAAGATTTTTACCTTTTTTAAATTCTGTCTGGCGATTCTCAAATATCTACGCTTTTATTTAATTATATATATATATATATAATATTTATGTGATAGCTTTGTATAATTATATTTATAGTAGATAATAAAAAATAACATACTTTGTAGCAGTACAAATCAAACATATCTATTTCATTTAATTTAATCCATAGATAATATAATTTATTGGAATTAAAATTTAATATAATGTTATTTAATATATTCTTAATCAATTTCGCTTCATTTTCGTTCCAATAATTCCTATCAATATTATTATTTTTCCAAAAAAAAAATTGGTTAGATGATAACAAAAATATTGGATGCGTAGGATTTACATTTTTCAGGACCTTTAATACTTCTTGCACGATATTGTCTATAAATTGATCTGTATGCAAGAAAAAAAATTTCTCTGGATGATACCATTCTAATATTATAACAATGATATCTTCTAAACGTTGCAATTGTTTGTGTTGTCTCATAAAATTTCGCAATCTTGATTTTAACATATTTCGATTCAAGTATTGAAATAATTGTATACTGTAATATCTTTCTGTCAAATTGGATTGCCTGAAAAAAAATTTATTATGCGATTAATGTATTCAATAATATATCAAATAATTAATTTAATAATATACCAATGTTATTTTGAAATATATATTTAGGCATACCATAAATCTTGTTTATATATGAGTCTAATAAGCTCATCAGCCAAAAAGAAAAAATTCATATACTGATTTTTCATATCCAAATAGATCAAATGATCAAGATCTTCTATAAAAATATTTTGGTTTTCATATCGGTCATTACAATAGTAGTATTTCTCAGACATAGAAGACACATATTGCCTAATATTTCTTGAAAATTCTATACCTTTTTGTACGTCTTTCAAAGTAAAGTAATCATTAATATTATTATCATTATTCATATCAAGGTTATTTTTATTAATATTAATGTCCTTTTTAGTGATCATATTATAATTCACATTTGCATGAGGCCATCTAAAATTATATAAAACCGAAAATATTTTATAACCAATTTTCGAAAAGCATCAAAAATATTGTATAACACCGCATATTATTATAATTAAAATGGAATAAATATATTAATAAATAAATAATTAATTAATAAATTGAAGATAATCCTCTCCCTTTTTCTTAAAATGTTATAAATGTGAATGAGAAAATATGTGTGAAAAACCTATAATTAATTATAACAATAATAGTAATAATTTTTAAAGATTATAGTTTTTTTATTAACACACACATTCTGGTTTTAACTTGTTCTCAGAACGCACACACACGCGCGCGCAATTAAATTTTATAATTACTAAAATTTTAATAAAGCTCTCGTGTGATAAATATATTTTAAATTTAAACGACAAATATAAGAATCAAACGCGGATATTAAAAAGTAAATAAATCTCAATTCGAAATAGTTAACCAGTGACACGTGGTAAAGATCATTCACTCGAATCGTCATGTTCTGCTAATTGCAATTTTCAAAAATTCGGCATGATCGCTAACAATAAACATCCATTCAATTTTATATGAATATTACGCTATTTATATATCAGCTGATACGTATCTTTCCAATTCTTTTGAATATAAGATTATAGTGTCCACACAATACAACGTGAAGTTTTGAAGATACTTATAAACTTCTTGAAGACATTATAAAATAATAATAACGTTTAAATGTTTAATTATAAAATCATGTCTAAAGACATCTTAATGTCTTTAAGATTTCTTATACGCTAATTTTAGACGTTGTATTGCCTGGGTGTCGTGGGGATGTCAAACTTGCATGATGCTGACAATAACGCCGAAGCAATTTGTTCAGAATATAGTTTTGCTTAAATAGAAATTCTTTTTTATACGACGTGTTAATCAAATAAAATAACAATAAAAGTCTTACCTTTGTTTAAACTTTATCGGCCAGAGAGTGATGCAGTCGATTGCACATCGAAATTGTTTGCATGTAGATCGAAAATTTACGATGTCCTGGATACTAATACTCTCGTATTGCAAAATTGTATAAATTATTTCAAAAGGCAAATTTATTATTGTAGACATCATTTTTAATAAAACGATATTCTACTGACTAACTCAGTTGAATTAGAAAGCTTAAGTAAGTAGCACCACGTGCTTCTTTCTTTATATACCAGGGATGGAGTTTTCCATTGCGGGGGAAATTGACTGAGAAAGGGAATCCTACCCCTACCTTATCCAAGTAGATATTATATAGTTTATGCTCCATCTCTATATTCCTATATCTATGGCTTTTCCAAAAATACCACATTTACAAATGGTGTATGAGCTTTTATAGCTCCAGCTAAACTAGAAGAAGAAGAAGAAGAAATATCACTTTTCTTTTAGTAAAAGGAATTTGCTTCTTTGTGATTTGTTGCTCATTTTTCTTTTATTTTTACCGCTTCGAATGGAAACACGCAACAAACGGCAACTTTTGTTACTGAAAACAGAAAGGCGTCCTCACTAGACAACGTGCAACAGTTTACTGATGTTTCATGTTTCTTATAAAAGTTCCTAGTTGTTGCCAATAGTTTTTTACTAGAAAATACTAGAAGATGTCGTCTGTCGAGGAATATTATTATAGGAAGAAGTACAAACTCAGCCGGGGGAAAAACTCGGAATTATAGATGTTACATTAAATTGATAGCATATTTCTCAGATATAGGAGAGTGCTAATCATATATAATCGAAAAAAAGATGAGTAACGGAAATTATAAAATATTAATAATAATAATTATTAAATAATAATCATTTAATATTATTTAATAATAATTATTAAAAAATATTAATAAAAAATATATTAATTCAAATGTGTGCACCGTACATATAATTCAAAATATTATATCGAACGTAAATATAGGGAGCATTTAAAATATGTTTTATATTAACAATATTTAATTTTTATAAGATCATTATTATTGTTATTATACAGAATGTAAAATATATATTTACTAAATAAAAATAAAACTAAAAAATTGAATAAATTATATATTTTTCTTACTTTATATTTGGCAAAATTTAAAAAAATTTTTTTTTTCTAAATTAAGCAATTAGGACAATAACAGCAATATTATAATCAATTTTCGTTTATTCTCCAATTTCCAATTTATCACATAATTCGTAATAAAAAAAATTTAGTCTAACAATAAGTAGCGCTATCTAAATAGCTTTCGCAATAATCAAATATCAAAGTATTAATTAAATAATAAAAATGTTATAAAGTTCTTATATGTAAGTTATTCTATAAATCCTTCAGCATATTAAAGAAAGTTTGATAATTTTAGATAAATTTTACACAGTTCTTTACATAAAGAAGAAATTAAACTGTGACATGAAAATAAGTGATCGAAACTTAGCGAAATTATTAAATCATCTTATTGTAAAGAAACAACAAAATTACAAGGCTACATCAGGGAAATACATTGTTTATTAGCTCAGACAATTATTATTTCAAAATTACAGAATAATATAAGCGTAATGTGTTTTTATTGATGATCGACATATTATATTTCACAGCTTGACATCATGCTCTTATTTACAATTTTTCTGTTCATCTTATTGCTGGCTTTCTTTCCGTTTATATTGAAATAAAACAAAACATAATTTAACAAAACTTAATAAAACAATATATGCAATTTTAATTATATATATTAATAGCACACATTGAAAACATTAATCCACGTTCCACATCATGAAATAGATGAAGCAATATTACACGAGACTTTCGACTAATGTTTCATTTTTCGATTGACATCGATCAAATAAATAATATAAAAGTGTGTATGTGTGTGTGTGTGTGTGTGCGTGCGTGCATATTTATAAATAATTTTTTAACATTTATAATACAATTTATTTTAAACATCTTAACAATTTAAATGCATCATCTTCCATTATCCATACTATTAGGCGGCCTTATTTGCAAACTGGTTCACCTGATGAATACATCGTCTGAAAAGTTAATAAAATTAACACTTTTTTATATTACTTAATTTAGATTAAATGTAGTTATTGATTAAATATAATTATAATTAATAAGAGAGAATGGAGGAGAGAGAGATATTATTACATGTATATTAATTTGTCGCGTGTAATTAATAAATAATTCTTAAATTTATATAAAGTCAGAAAATTTTGTTATATTTATTTAACGTAATTTGATAAGAACTGTTTAATAATAATTTCAACTAAAATCTTTACGACATTATAGATGAATACAATATGATTCAAAATTATTGAAGGTTGCTGCATATTCATCAAAAATTTACCTCTGAGCATATTTTTCTTCCAAACTAAAATGGAACTAAAATTTCCAATGTTTTTGATAGTAACATTCTCGTTTTCCAGAATTATCAAAAGCATCTCGATAGGCAAATCCATTATTGTAGCCATTATTATTGCAAAGAAAATATAGCAAAACAAAAAACTGTTTTAGTCGGTTTTAACAAATTGGTTGATATTTTATGCACCACTTTCGTTGATAGAATGCACGAAGTTCATTGCACTCTATGGACAGTAGAAGACCGAAAACCATTAATCACGATTACCTGTGTGAATTTGGCACCGACTTTAAGCAAAAAGATTTTTCAAATACGCATTCGATTAAGATTTATTTGTACCCGTTTGTATCGGCTGTCTTTAATTTCGTTTATACCTCAAAGGGTTAAATAATATTAGAGGGATAAAAAATGGTCAGCATTTAACTTTAAAATATTTTAATTTTATTAAAGCTATTCGATAAAGAATCGTTTGTACCTGTTTGTACCACTTTTTTTATTTCGTTTTTACCCCAATGAGGGTGGAAATACAGAATATTAAAAATTCGCGTAAGGGGTAATTTTGCCATTTTTAAAGATATTCGAAATCTGAAAGCAGATACTGCTTCGTAATCGTTTGTACCCGTTTGTAACCGCTTTTCGTTTCGTTTTTACTCCAACGGGGGTGGAAATACGGAATATTAAAAAGTCGCGTAAGGTATAACTTTGCCATTTTAAAAACTATTTGAAATTTGAAAGCAAGAACTGCTTCCGTAAAAATGATAATAAGTTATTAATATATATTTACATTAAGGTTTTTCGCCAGATTTGATATTAAAATAATATTTAATTAATAAAATTATATTTAATTACTCAAAGGGGTAACACCACTCTAGCGGTCGAAAAAAAGACCTAACTTTGACAATTTTTTTGAGAATATAATAAAAGGAATGGGAATTTTTCTTGAGAAGGTTTATTGAGCATATATTTAAGTATAGAAAAAATTTTTTTATTTTTTTTTACAAAATGGCGACGAGAGAGACAATCTTCAAAATGACGTTTTTAAAAAACGCTTCCATTAGCGAACCAATTTCTCGTGAACTATAAGACCTAGAATAAAAAACCAAAAAAATTTTAAATCTACATACTATTGCCTATAGAAGTACGTAGGGATTTTTTATTTTATCAAATTTTGCAGAAACGGTGCACTTTTGAAAAAAAAATTCAATTTTATGCCAAAAAATAAGCAGTAAATTGTTTATAAAATAAAAAGTTTACATCGAATCGAAAAACCCCTACGTACTTCTATAAAGGATGTAATTGTGAAGCTACTGTCAAATTTTCAAACTGATCCATGCAACCGTGTTGAAGTAATGTGTTCGCTAAGATTGAAAAAAGTGGTTTCGAGAAAAACGCGTTTAAAGTTTCACGAGCACTTAAAATGCTTGAAATTTATGTTTACCTTTAATCAGCGATGCCTGCACCATACATTTGGCCATCCAGATTAATACTCGCCTCTTCTTCTTCCTTCCTGGATGATTTTAAAAGCAATCGGGCCTCTTTTGCAGCATTAGTCAGCGATCGCTCCGAATACTTGATGCGGCGCTCGTCCGTTTCGACGCAGAAATTGTAGCAATTCGTCCCAATTTTCATGCCTAAATTTTGCATGAGCCTCATAACACTTGATAGGCCATCATTATATATACCTACAGCGATATATATGGCAGTATCAAGCACATGCTTGCCACTGGAGGTCGATTTCGGAGCCATTGACCAAACTGTCGAATTGAAACTCTCGTTGCTATTTTGAGTATAGCCGCCGATGCAACGAGTAAGCAGATCGTCGTTGCTTAATTCTTTATAAATTGGTAAAATTGCTTCAAAAACTGAAGTCGAGAGAGGTGGTTTATGCTTGTAATCGACATTACCAATGGCCTGTGCTTTTTGCCATGAACACCACGAATTTTCTCCGGACGGGCATTTCTCGTGCTGCGGTTTTTCGTCGGTTGATATTTTATGGAATAGCGTCGCATAAATTTCATTCCGCATTTTTTCTACGGAATCATGATTGCGGCGTATAGCTAATCCATAATAAATTGACAACTCGTCGATCAATTTACCTGTCAACTTGCCTTTTCCTCCGAGTCCTTTTGTATTTTTTTTTAAATTGCGAAGGCGAGTACCCATTCGCTTTTGTACGTGGTCGATGCACTCTTTCTTCATAACTGTGAAATCAGCATAAGGCTCTGAATCCATGATACCTTTAAAAGTTTTAGAATCTCCGTCCCCCACGTAATTTGCATATTTTAAATTGTGCAAAGAATTTGAGCGCTGGAACATTTCTATGACGGCGTCCACCTCCATCTTTCCGGCGGAGCCCTCGTGGTAGCTTGGCATTCGTTTTCATGCGTTTCGATCCATTCCTTGTACTTCTCAGTGTCTTCTTGTTTCTCCCAAAATTCACAAGATTTACAATATTTTGATTTTATAACAACATCAACCACTTTGCCGCTAAGCCATCCAATAAGCGATACGAATCCGAAAAGTGACGAAAAACCCCGCTTTCTCCACAAACCATCACCAGATACAGTAATACCATCTGTATTCTCTTTCTCATCACTTTTTTTCTTCTCTTCCTGAGCTGCAGTTTTCATACTGAGCTGACAAACCGCCTCTGCTCCAATAGCGATTCTTTTAACGACTCTGTCGTAGAATGATTGAAAAATTGGTCGCGGGAGATCCATAAACGCGCAAAATTTCATTATTCCATTTAGTCCTACTCCGAGTAGC